TCTGACCCCACCCCCATACTAGGCCCCTGTTGTGACCCTTGACCCCCTGCCAATGCCCCGCTCTGCCCCCCCAGTGCCCTGCCCCCCTGACCCGTCTCTCCTCTCCCCCAGATCAAGGCGGAGGACCCCACGGCCCTGCCTCCAGCTCCAGCACCGGCCCCCCGGCCCAGCAGCCGCACCTGCCCCAGGCCCAGCTCATGTTAGCCGGCAGCCAGCTGGCCGGGGTGAGTGGGGGCCCCCGGTGGTGAGGGGGGGTGATGGCCCTGGGGGTGGGGGGTGGGGCTGGCTCAGGGGGCAGGAAACAGTGCACGGGGCCTTTCCCCTGCAGGGGGCCCTGGCTCCCATCTGGCCCCCACGTGGGGTGAGGGGGGGTCCCAGGCTGGTGCCCTTGCGCTAACAGGGGCGGGGGCTGCTTTGCCGCTCGCTGGCGCTTTTGGGGGGACGCGCTGGGACTAACCTGCTGCTTCCCCTCTCTGCCCCCTCCCCCGCCCGCGCCCCCTGCGCCCCGGCTTGCCCGGCCCCCAGCTGACGGCCCTGATGCCCGCCCAGCAGCAGCTCCTCCTGCAGCAAGCGCAGCTCCTGGCCGCGGCCGTGCAGCAATCCAACGCGGCCGCCGCAGCCAACGCCGCCAGCCAGCCGCCGGGGGGCGAGGCGCCCCAGAGCCAGCCGCAAACGCCCCAGCTGGCTCTGTCGCAGCCCATCCAGCTCACCGCGCAGGTAAGGGATGGGCCCCCCGGGGGGCGCTGCATCGCACTGGGCACCATCCGGCATCACTGCACTGGGCTTGGCATTGCATCGCACTGGGCACCGCGGGCGGGCACTGCATCACACTGGGCACCATCCGGCATCACTGCACTGGGCTTGGCATTGCATCGCACTGGGCCCCGCAGGGGGCGCTGCATCGCTCTGGGCACCATCCGGCATCACTGCACTGGGCTGTCACTGCATCGCACTGGGCACCGCGGGAGGGCACTGCATCACACTGGGCACCATCCGGCATCACTGCACTGGGCTTGGCATTGCATCGCACTGGGCACCATCCGGCATCACTGCACTGGGCTGTCACTGCATCACACTGGGCACTGTGAGGTGTGTCACTGCATTGCACCACGGAGCGTCACTGCACTGGGCTTGGCATTGTAGGTGCTCACTGCATCGTGCTGGGCACCATGGGGAGGGTCACTGCATCCTGCTGGGACCACGTGTCTCTGCATCGCACCACGCATGGGGTGTGTGTGTCACTGCACCCTGCTGGGCACTGCGGGGGATGTTACTGCGCTGCATCGGGCACTGCGGGGATATCACTGCACTGCATTGGGCACTGCGGGGATGTGTGTGTCACTGCACCGGGCACTGCGGGGATATCACTGCACTGCACCGGGCACTGCGGGGATGTGTGTGTCACTTCACCGGGCACTGCAGGGATGTGTGTGTCACTGCACCGGTCACTGCGGGGATATCACTGCACTGCACCGGGCACTGCGGGGATGTGTGTGTCACTTCACCGGGCACTGCAGGGATGTGTGTGTCACTGCACCGGGCACTGTGGGGATATCACTGCACTGCACCGGGCACTGCGGAGATGTGTGTGTCACCGCACCGGGCACTGCAGGGATGTCACTGCACTGCACCGGGCACTGCGGGGATGTGTGTGTCACTGCACCGGGCACTGCGCACCATAGGTGGGGAGAGCCGTCACTTTCTGTGCACCGGGGCTGCTGTGGCTCTGAGCCCCACACGGCGCCAGGCCCTGCCCCCCATCTCCCCCCTGACCCTCTCTCTGTCCCCCAGGACATCCAGCAGCTCCTTCAGCTCCAGCAGCTGGTGCTTGTCCCTGGGCACCACCTCCAGCCGCCCGCCCAGTTCCTACTGCCACAGGCCCAGCAAGGACAACAAGGTACGGCCCTGGCAGCGCCATGCCCCCCAGCTCCCCTCCGCGCCCTGCCCCCCAGCTCTCCCCCAGCCTCCTACCCCCCCATCCTGCCTCCCCAGCCGGGCACGGCCTGCCAGCCTCTCCCCACCAGGCCCCTCCAGCGCCCTGCCCCCTCAGCTGGGCACGGACCCCTAGCGCCTTGCCCCCCAGCTCCCCCCCAGCCCCTGCCTCCCCACCCAGGCACGGCCTGCCAGCCTCTCCCCACCAGGCACTCCAGCATTCGGCCATGGAGCCCTCCAGCCTCGGCTCCCATGCACCACCCCAGAGGGGCGGCATCTCTGCCCGGGCGAGGGTCCCTGTATGCCCAGCCCCCCAACCCCCAGAGGCAGGCGTGTCGCGGGGGCTGGGCGCCCGGGCTCACTCGCTCTCCTCTCCTGCAGGGCTGCTCCCGACACCAAATCTCTTTCAGCTACCTCAGCAAAGCCCGGGGGGGCTCCTGCCAACCCCCCCCCGCGCCGGGCTGCCTGCACAGGTGAGCCAGCCGGGGGGGAAGAGGGGCTGGTATCCACCTCCCCTCCATCCGTCTGTCCGTCCATCCCCCCACCCCATCCGTCTGTCTGTCCGTCCATCCCCCACCCCCATCCGTCTGTCTGTCCGTCC